AAAAATAATTGAGAACAATTTGCTACCTTTCTATAACATCAAGAAAAGGTTAGATCTTCTAGTCTTCTCGGATAGGGACGAATAAATGGAGGTCCCGTCTCCTGCAGGGTTGGGGTAGGAGCCGTTAATTCCCCACACACGAGATTACTGTGTGATGGGATTTAAACCAGCTTTAAGCTGAACTGGGCTGGCCTGTCTAAATATCGTAAATACATACAAACATACATCGTTTTAAGAATACTGATAATCACATGCGAACAATTGTTGAAGGATTTCTGTAAGATCAAAGTGTCAATGTAATGTTTACAACTATGACTGAGAGTGGTTTAAAGCTTTGAGAACACAGGTTCCTCTTTATTCATTCCAGACTGCACAGCTTTCAGAATGTCTTCCGTTTGTAACATAGCCATGTTCCACGTAGCCTGAAAGGTGAAAAAGAACAAGAAAAACATAAACCATTTTCATCATGAAATTGTACCGACTGGTTGTTCACTGACTGAAGAACATTCAATTGTATGCTCTACAGACAATTATTACAACCTTTACAGCAATGTTCTTACCATGTATTCCAAACCCTCTTGTGCAGAATGGTCTCTTGAAAAATTAAGGTTGTGCTTGGTCCCTGCCATGGCAACGGGGCTCTTCTTGGCAATCTGGCCTGCCAGCTCCAATGCTTCCTTTACCAGGCTATCACGGCCTGGGCTGACACGACTACAGGAAACGAGAATAAAAGAAGAGGTCTACAACAAGGTTTCATGCTTGATAATCTCGTTTTTTTACATAAAAATTGACGATTCAATCTGACACTTGGGTAGGGCACTTAAACACAATTTTGGCCCCAGGGAGCACGAATTTAAACAGACCATCTTCAAAATTTGAAATGCGCGAGGATTGCCTTGGTGAAAGGAATCGTAAAGCTTCAAATTGACCGATACATAGTCCACAACCTTAAGGGGAGACCTCGAACTCGGTTTGTAAAGGGTATCACTGACAAAAACACAGAACAAACCTAACAAATCCAAATTGCAAGGCTTCCTCAGCTGTGAATCGTCTCCCAGTGAAACAAAGCTCTCTTGCAAGGCTGAAAATGAAAATAAATACAATTAGATAAGTCTGCAATTATACAAGGCACGCTGTTTTTCTTTTCTTAATTTCAATATCAAGAGCGCTAGCATCGAAAGATCTCTTCAAAGACCACTTTGATTTTCGGGAGGTTATCGTGTTGAAAAAAGATAAAAAAAAAAAAATTTAAAAAAATTAACAAAACAATGCTCACCTGTCATTTCCAATAATTTTCGGAAATTTCTGCAAAGTACCCAAATCTGCAGCCAGTCCTATGTCAATTTCCTTGAGTATGAAAAAATATATAAAATTTGAGATATAAAATTTAAAATACAACTATAAGAAAGATTTTCACAAAAGGCAAAGAAACGTCAAGACAACACTCAGAAGATGTTTTTTTTTCTCCAAGACTACATATAAAAAAAAAAAAAAACCCACTCTTTAACCCTTTATACCCTAACATCAGTATGCATTTTCTCCATACTGTTCTCATGTCGTGACTATTTTTTGAGAGTTGTGTGACAACCTCGTTTTGAAAATCGTTAGAGCCTCGGTTCCATTGACGGGCCTCGTGAAAAGAACGCATCGGTGACGTTTTGTACTGTTCTTGGTGAGAGAAGAGATTGTCGAGTTCTAAACAAGATTAAACCTTAGTGAGTCATTTGGTGTGACTCGAAGAGCACTTTTGTTTCCCACACTCAATACATTTCCTAAGGTGCTGACAAGGAGAATTTGTTTAACGATCAGGAGCTTCTTCAGTTGCTGATCATTTCCTTTATTCTACTGACCTTAATGTTTGATTCACGAGTGACATTGTGAGGAGAAATTAGATGCTAGTCACTCTTACTTTCAAAAGTGTTACTTACATAGTGTAACTTGAGAGTCAAGAGCACCAAGGAAGTTGAATTTTATATTTTGTGGTACACAAAGTAGAAATCAGCTGATCAATGCATCACAACATTAGAAATAGAAAGTAGAGGAGAGCAAACCCAAAGCCAGGATATTGTCTAAGCAGTCTATGGGTACTGCCTGCAAGCATGCTCTTATTATGAACCCTGCAGGATGCACATTTCTTTGCTGGTGGGAAGATTGGAGACAAGAGGGTTGGAGGTTTGTTTGGGATTTGGCTCTAATATAAATAATCATTATGAGCTTGGGACCTTCTTCATACCTCTTGCCATTTCGGGTTGTTGAAGGCCTCGTAATTTCTCATGAGTGAAGAAATACAAACCCTGAAGCACTTATAACAAGGGTTTGCTTTCAGGTCCATTTTTGGGCAACTTGTGCAGGTTACATACCTTAATTTGAAACCAAGCATCAGATGAGCAAAGACGAATGTCACAGGAGCAGATCATGTCAACTCCTCCACCCACACATGCTGAGTGAAAAGCTGCAATGACTGGCTGCGGACATTTTTCGATGGTACGAAATGAATCCTGTAAGAAGAGGATTAATTTTCTCAGCAGATGAGCTCTTCTGGAGGGTTCCAGGTCAGAACTCATTAAATTACTCCCCATATCCATAAGATCAAGGCCTGCAATTGAAACAGTTAACCAATCTGAGGTGAAACATTTCACAAGTATGTATTTGTTGAGTTCTTGTTAGAAATGAATTTTAGGTTTGATTTGGTAGCCAACACTCATATCAATAATAGATGTCTGTAATGAAACTGAGATATGCTTGGATGGTCCGCAATAGGTCTCTGCACTCTTTACCAATTTTAGTTGACAGACCTAATCATTATTATGAATCTAACATAATATTTGCCCCAACCTGCAGTGAAAATTTTTCCTGCTCCAGTTAAAACCACAGCTCTGCAGTCGGCATCATCAGCAATCTGTCGAAAACAATCCACCATCTCCCTGTGCACAATAAGAAGATGAGATGGTAATTTTAAATATAAACCTGTTCATCCAAATTCCATTGTACTTTCCCCAAAACATATCGCAAAGCAGAGTGGTGGTGTGAAACCTGTAGGTGGCACAACCACTAGCTGTCATGCCATTTTTACTATAATAATATTAGTGTTTGTCATTGCCTCTTCAACCTCATTTGTCTAGTAACTAAAAACCTTGAGATGCTGTGTGAACCTGTAGAACTTGTTGCAAGCCATACTGGTTTGTCAGGGAGATCACATTACAAAAACTCATGTTTCAATATTACACCTTTAGCGCCCTTTTAGATGATTTTCCTCTGATGACTAAAATTTTATCTCCGTCAAAAAACATTGAGCATAGACCAGTAACAGTGTACAGAAAGGTCACAAGCTGACCTCCACCAGGAGTTCAAGGGACAAAGGTCACCAAACCATTCTTAGGTTGATAAAATACATAAAATCTAGAAACATGATATCTGTAGATTAGTTCCCATAATTTCAAATGAAATGTACCTCCAAAACGTTCCATTCATAGCATTTCTTTTGTCAGGTCTGTTAAGTTCAACCTGAATCACATGGTCCAGTGGTTTAGTCACAGCAAGAGTTTCAAATTTGTAGGGTTCTGTACTATTCATCCTTGTGTTTGATCTGTGAACAGCACTGCTTTGAGAAGCTGGCAAAATTGTCTCTGGCTTCAACCTTTGGCTTCTATTTAATAGATGACCACTGATCCCCAAAACTAAGTAAAAGAAGTATTATGAAATTAGGGTTGAGCCAAATTGCTTATGGTTATAATGAACCCACGTTTCTAGGACAAAGGAATTAAAAAATACTAATAATAAATAAATATTATATAAATAAATATATATATATATATATACCAATGAATAAAGGCTGATAGTTTCTAAAGAAACTGTTTGGGGCTGTGTCAGTGGGGGTAACGAAATAATTTGAGTATATCAACAAAGTTGAAATGGTAAATTGGCCACTGTTATGATTATAAAAGCTGACATTTTGAGCGTTAGCCCTTCACTCAGACGAAGGGCCAACGCTTGAAACATCAGCTTTTATAATTGTAACGGTGGCCAATTTACCATTTCAACTTTGTTGATATACTCAAATCATATATATATGCCATTAATACCATTAACCCTTTCATTCCTTACAGCAATAAACATCTAATTTCTTCCAAAAGTAACACCCCTGAATCAAACATTAAGGTAATGAGAACAATGGAAATGATCACACTCTCAAAAAGCTCATGATTTTAAGACACAATCTTATTGTAAGTACCAATAAGAGTCTGGAGAATTTGTAAAGTGATGTTAGGGTGTAAAAGGCTAGACTGTTTCTGTGATACAAAGCAGTCCTTTCTCGTGTTGTGCACGTCCATTGAGTCTTTTAAAAGTCAGAGTACAGAAAGGTAATTTATTACACTTAATAGGCCATTTTACAGTTGTGTACTTAGTTGCCAAGCCTTTCATTTGGAGTGAGGCTGAAGCTGACCTTGTTGTGATAGAGACCTGTATCTAGTTAGCATGATAACAAAGTGATTTACATTTGAAAGGCAGCAAGGTTTGTATCATAACAAGGTCACCCTCAGCCTCACTCCCATTCAAAGGCTTGGAAACCAAGCACAAAACTGTAAAATGGACTATTGATATGCTTAGCACACCTCTCAGAAGAAATTCTTAAATCTAAGTTAATTTGATTATAGTTATCAGCTAAGTTGAAATTGTAAATTGGCAACCGTAAAGAATAAAAAGCTGACGTTTTGAGTGTCAGCCCTTCGTCATTTGCTCTGACGAAGGGCTAATGCTCGAAACAAAATTACCTTGTTACCACCACCGACACAGCAGCAGTTTCTTTAGAAACTTACCCCCTTTATGAAAGCAAGGGCCCTGGAGGGAAAAGTCACCGCATGGAGCCTGGAAAAAAATTGTTGCTTCATCGTAATAAAAGTAACCGTTTCAAAATGTAGAGGTAAAAAACTTGCGTGAAATTACATAATAATTCTACAAACTTACCTCTGTAATTAAACAATGTTACCCTGCACTCATCAAAGAGTTCTGAAATCATTCTTTTACGTCTCACACATAAAATTGTAACTGCTTACCTCTTCCAACTCTAAATCGGGAAAACATTTGTTCAATTTTTCCTGAAAAATTAACCCAAAACCTTGATTTTATCCTTGCTCAGAACTTTGCCCTTTCCGCCATATTTACCGGGGAGGCAAGCGAGGCTGCAAAGCCTAGGCGCCTCGTTCCAATGTTTTTTAAAAATGGCGGACGACCGAATAGCAAAGAAGAGCGACAAGCTGTACAGAATTTTAGCCTTTGGAGACAGCCTTACCGCAGGAAATACAGGCGGTGAGCTAAATGAAACTATGGATAAACCTTATACGATTCGTCTCTTGGAATTATTGAGAGAATACCACCCTGATTTCGAGTTCGAGGTCGACAACAAAGGGATTTACGGCGAGTTGGTTTGTGGTGAAATGACGGAAAGATTGCCAAAGGTTTTGGAGCAAAGCGAACCGTACGATTTAGTGATTATTTTGGGAGGAACTAATGACATCATTGAGACTAAGAAAGGTTTAGAAGACACTCTCTTTGACGGTATTAAAACGTTACATGCTGCGGTCATTGGTCACGGCGCAAAGGTTGTCGCACTAACAATCCCAGAAACTGACCTATACTTCAAAGATCTCAGGAAGAATGGTTTGTCTTGGGTGAAGGAAGAAGGAGAAAACATTCGTTTGTTGGTAAATGAGAAATTAAGGGACTCAAATGGGAGGAGTGAAGAAAAGGTTAACATCACCTTATGTGACTTTGCCGAAAAGTTTCCCCAACAAAGCTTGTGTGACAAGGATTTGCAGGAATTATGGAGTGATGGTTTGCATTTCACAGAAAAAGGTTACAGTAAGATGGCAGAAATAATCTATGAGGACATGAAGCACCTTTTAATATCTAGAACAACACAAAAATACTAATTTACAAAAAAATACTAATTTTTTTTTAAAAAAAAAATATTTACAGTTACTTAAATTGTTTTTCTGTTAATCTACATGCACATCTGTAATCATTTTTTTTTTTTTTAGGCTCACAGTAATTAAATAACGTGCTTGTGAATGATGTGATTTACAACTATTCAAATGTGCACCAAAGAGTTTCTTGCCGGCTTTGATACTGAATGAATACATTTAACTTGCAGAGTTGAGCAACCATTTAATACCAGGCAGAACTCCATCCAGGTTTTCAACACAAGCTGAATTGACCTTAAAAGAAATAATAAATAAAAGGATTCACATTTTGTTCAAAGATAAAAACTGAATATTACAATGAATATGAACTTCCAATATTTTTGGTAAAGAACTGATGTACAGTATAACATAAGAATTTGCCTCCCATTTAATTTTTTAAATTTTCTTTTTAATGAAAGCTGTGTCAAAAAAGGGAATGAAATTTAAAAGATTCCCTGAGCTATAATTTAACCCCATTTCCTCTTAATAATGGCCCCTTCTTTCTTTTATTATTATATTTTCAGTAATCAAAACATCAGTATTATCATAGTTTCAGTGAACACATTGTCAGAAAGGGCAAATTTAACCTGGATTGTTGACAGCACAATGACCTGCGTCACTGCTTGTTGACAAATTTCTTACCAATAGCCAATCATATTGATGCAAAAGCCAAACTCTCTGGCTTAGTCTGTAGTCCCTTCTCTTTGTGTGCCTCTCTCCCAGAGTCCTGCGCAGCACACTGATATCAATTTTTTTCTTCCTGGTTTTTTTCACTCACACCAAAAAGTGGTTGTAGAAGCAGTCTGTGGTGAGACTCAATTAACCTTGCCCTTCTTTCCCCTCCTCCAATGAGTCTATATGGTGTTCAGTAAAGTAATTCAGGGTTGGAGTAGAAAGACCTAATCAGAGTTACAATCTTATTCGAATGCATAATATCAGACTCTAGCATCACTAACCTGCCATGGTCTGTTCAGTTGTCTAAGCTGTAGAAGCTCAACCACAGTTGCACACGACACTGAAGGTGTGGTTTCTTTTTCAACACAAGAAAGTACTAGAAGGGGAGCCTTAGCTTGTGTCCAGTTCTCGTTCATCATGGCAGACAACTCTGTGTCTCCTACATTCACTGTTTAGAGAGAAACAAATTAATACAAAGGTAAAGTATTTCAGACTGCTGTAAGTAAATAAATGAATGGTGAAATCTGAGAACATGTTTTGAAAATCCAGGACCAGGTGGAAAATTTTAGACTTGGAGAAGTAAAGCAATGAAGAAAAATGCAACTTCCTTAATTATGACAAAGGATGCTGAGAATTTGCTATAATTTTTTTAATTTTTTTTCTACATAGGACGGTATGCATTTTTTTTAATTGATGCAGACAGAATGTAACTGAGGTGCATATCTGTCATTGTTGCCACTTTTGGATTGAATCTGGTGCTGCTGCTTTGTGCTGCTGCTTTGTGCTGCTGCTTTGTGCTGCTGCTTTGTGCCACCATGTAAATGGCCACATAGCATTTTGGTATGGCTGTATAGTTACACCATTTTGTGCAGTGATCTCTAATTCTATGTTGATGGTTATGTTGTTGGTAGTGTTAATAGTTGGCACTGGTAGTTATGACATATGTTAATGATAGTAATACAAGTCATGTAACAATAATACTGATAATACTGATCTATTAACTAAATTCATTTCAATGTCATTGAAGTAAAGGAAAGGATCTATTTCTCTTCTTTTTGGTTTGAGATTGTACACAATTCATTCTCTTCTAAAAATTGTTCATTTTTTTCTAAATAACCTGTGCTGTGTCAGCAGGCAAGTGAAAAAGAAAGTCATTTATCAACTGTAAGTAAGAATTGGTTGATGGAATGCTGCAGGGAATTTTGAAAAACTTGTGTTTGAACATTTATGTTAGCAGCAATCTGCTTCAACAAAGGTCTCTTTCACATGTCTGCCTTTCAAACTTCATGGTCATTTATATATCTACCTCAACCAACATTCAGTTTAAACAACTTTTCATAAAAAATGTCATACCCCTTTCAGAGTCAGCAGAAGAATCAACAACGTATATAAATGCATCTACAGTTTTACAAAGTTCCTTGACTGGATGGCTCAACTCAATGGGCTTGGATTGGGACTGATCCAGTTCATCTGCATCATGTACCTCATTACTTGCACCTCCAGCAGATGCTAGCAGTTTACTAGATCTTGGCCTTCCAAGTCTTGCATTAGATTCTCTGTCTTTTCTGCAAGAGATCAAAAAAATAAAAATTGATGCAAAGAATGTCACAATTGAATTCATGGACATGTCACTTGGCATTCTTTAAATTTGTTAGTTTTATTATTTGTTTATTGTTAAATTTTTTTTTTTACCTAAGTGGTGCATCAAGGCACATGAAAAGGAACAGTGAATTTGAAAGCAATCAGTTATTCACTTCTTTTGGGCCACATAAGTTTTCTTACAGTTTTCTTACTTGATGGAAAATGATACAGATGAGTTCTGGTAACTAAATGGGGAGAATTTCAGTGAGATATTTTCAAGGTTGTATTTTATGCTATACACAATTTGTAAATATTGCCCTCCTAAACAAATGGCGTTACTTTTTAATTTCATTCATTTGCAAGGTCAATTGATGAACATAACTGCAGATTTTTTTTTTGACAAAATTTCAATTTTTTTGAAAACTATTAAATATTGTTTTATGAATAAGTAACTTACTTGTTTGAGGCATAAAGTGTGATAAGGTTTAATTCCATGTTTTCAAAGCTCAACTGTACTCCAGAACCAATTCCTAAAATGCAACCATATAACAAATGATCAGTTTTAAGATATCATTTATCATTTTAGTAAATCTCCTTGCTGTCTGGCATACAATTCTCGTGAAGTGAGTTTGGAGAATTTGGTATTGGATCAAATAATTGATCATTTTCTTTATTCTCATCACTCATCTGCTTGATGTTGTATTGATATCGTATGGAGAAATTATGTCTTGGTCACTCATAGGAGTTTAAGGATTCAAAATTATTATACTGATACAAGTGAAATTAATTTTAACAAAACTTTTGAACAATTCTTTGTCTTCTGAGAAAGAGGGAATTATTACTTTGCCTATTAATGCATTAAGTAAAATAATGTAATTTCTGTTACTATTCAATATGGATATATTGTATGTTTAAAAACAAATTTTTAACATTTTACAACAAAATCAGTTAAAGGTGTAAACACCTTCAAATTGTCCAGGGAACATTCCTGTCACCTCAAATGGTGACTTTTTATCCCATAGTAGTTGACGCACTAGTCCTTTGGTGTCTGATTCCAACCCAGGACCAAACATGACCAAGCGGGGTGATTTTCTCTTGAAAAAGGAGGACAAGTGTTGCAGGTTGTAAAACACTATCGATTTGAAAGATTCTCTGGTTTTCCTTAAAGATCTGCATTCTGGGCAGCACCTTAAGTATCTACCAAGAAAAAAAGAATGGTGCAAATTATGAATGTAACTTACATTCATTTAGTGAATCAACCTGGGGCAAAATTACTGTTAATGACCTTTTTTTATTGAGTGAAAAATAAAATTCTGCAAACCTTGCTTCACAAGCAATTAACAGGAGAATGAAAATGGAGACAGTTCTTTCAATTGAGAGTGTCTCTCAAATTCAAAAGCGTATTGCACCATATTGCCCAGCTGCTTTCTACAGTATTAAGTGACTTTTAAGGAGTAATATACTTGATCTTCAAGTACAATATGAGATGAAGCTATGGTGATTTTCCCCAGTGTGCTCCTGGACAGAGTGAGGCACTGTGAGAATTAAGTATATAATTTATATCCTCACTGTCCAAGAAGACATTTTAAATGACCCCAATCACCAGAGGTTGAATCTGGCTCTTAATGGTCAGAGTTGTAACTAAGAAATTATGCTGCTGGCTGAATTTCAAGTGAGGAGGCCCAAGGTGGCGAAGGATTGTAGGTGTGTAACCTCGGAGGTCCCGGTTGTGCTTTCCCAAGCTATTGCCAGCCAAAGATCCAGCCAGGAATCGCCGCTATTTTATCGAAGTAAATTTCCCCGGCAGCCAGTGCTTAGTGACAACCCTGAATAGTTCCAGCATGTCTATACCTTGGGTCTGGTTAATTGAGTACCCACATCTACACAAAGTCTCTATTTGTGGCCCATCTCCACTGCATTTCATGTAATGAAATTAGCTTTAACAACAAGTCAAGGCTAAGGGGACACAAGAAAGCAAGTGAATTAGCTCTGCAGGATTGTGTGCTGTGAGCCCTGTTTTAAAAACAAATTTCATTCATGAAAGAAGCTCAAATTATTATGCCCAATGGTGGTTCATACTCATGTTTTACTCACATTTGTTTCAAAGATAAATCTGATCTCGCTTCCATGTAAGTTGATGGACATGACTGATATCCCATAGTGCTCCACTGGTGCATGTTACGCTGCATCAAGTTCATCCAGAGTGCCTTATCTTCACTGAGCATGTTCCAATAATGGCATGTTGATGCAGCTGTACAAAGTGATCTTGCATCCAAATATGAGAATATTTTGAGTTGTAAGTTTACCTGCAATGAACAAATGTTAGATTTCCATAAATTCTATGTGTTAAGATTGTTGGTTACGTAGCTAGCCAGGGAGGTTTTGAAACCAAGAAAACAAATTATTTCAGGTTTTTAAAGTACACTTGAACTTTTTGAGCTTTAAGCTAAATAAAACCACAACTGCACTTGTTCAGTATAACGAAACGGAAATTTTCGATTAATCCTTCTGAATATCTAACAATACTTTTAGAATATACAAATTGAAAGTTCAGCAAATTTAAAAAACATGAAAGTAAGTCGAAGGTAACTCTGTTAACTACTATTGTGAAATTTTACCAAGATTTTCCTCGAATCGCTGAACAAAAGTTTGACTGAACAATCATTTAAAGTACAAGATTTAGCTCGCCTCTTACCATAGTTGAAACAATGATCATAGTAGCCACAAACATTATTAGAAATGTACGTGTACACTCAAGTTTAACTCCTTGTCGAACTTGTGAAAGTTAATTGTCCAAAATATTTCAGAACGATATAGAAACCAAATCTTTAATTACCGGTAGCTCTTGGAAACCAAATTCCGCTGTGGAAAGTTCCCTGACGATCAATCTTCTCCCGACATCAGCTCGTGCTCTTGATGGTTGGACCGTTATTTCTTGTGTTTCTTTTTCCACGACTGAAGTTTGGTATAACTTAATCAAAAATTTGATCGGGAAAGTTGCTGCTTCAAGAAAGCTCTCCGTATCTGTACTTAACCCGGAAATAAAATCCTGAGATTTTTCGTTTACTTCGCTTCGCATGATTTCGTTGTTTTCCCGGACAAAATTTTCAGCAATGGATGTTTTTGTCAGTTAAGACGTTGGATATACTCCTATTACTGGCGCTTAACGCAAGAACTGTTGAGTTTTATTGTTACGCTCGGTTCAGATGCTCATAGAGCAACGCAAATATTATCAACGTGGCAGTTGTCATAACTTCCGGTTGTCACGTAAATCCTATTTTTGGTAACATAAACTTTCAAGCACACATACGGTATTCTGAAACAGATTGGTGTAATACTTTATTTTTTAGCTTCCCACATTCTTTCGAAAAGATATTTATTTTCTAACACCTTCAAGTGCATAGCCTACCAACCTTTACCGCTTCATAGTCAGTCCATTGCAGTCTTTAAGGTCGGCACACACGAGGGGACTAGTCCCTGCGACTAGTCACAGCGACCAGTTTCATGCGACTAGTCCCTTCGTGTGAACTACACATTTCTGTGGTCGCAGGAACTTGTCGCATGAAACAAATGTTTGTCCCCTCGTGTGAACTGTTTGTGCGACCAGTCCCTGCGACTAAACGGTAAATAAGCCAATCACGGGTCAGTATGATGCGTGACTTCCGGTATTTGTAAACATTGCAGTCTCTATGAATTTTCCCTGAATTCTAGATTTCTACAACTGAAGAATAAAAAACTATTTCTAGTTTTGTAAACATATACAGATGTCTTGGAGCCGTTTTGATGGAATTTTTACCCTATTTGACTCTGTGTCTGTTAAAAATAAATNTAAATAATTGATTTTAAAGTTCCTCACACCGAAAAAGTGTTACTTTTAGTCATCTATCATAAGGATAGCCTTAGGGTAGGGTTGCCTAAAGGTGTAGGTTGGTTAAGTTATGGGTAGCCCAAAAGCTTGGCCTTTAAATTTCCTCACATCGCAAAAGTGTTACTTGAGTCATCTGTCATAAAGACAAAGTCTGTCTCAGTTACAACAATTAAAGAGAGAGAAATTCTAAGGACTAGTGCTCAATAAGGGGTCAAAGCATCATCATATGACCCATATGGTCCCTCACAGAAAACCATAACGTAAGTTGACATGAGCCGGTTCAGAAAAAGCCAGCCAGTGCACCCTAAAGTGCTTGAATGGCTTTGTTGCAAAAAACAAACAAACAAACATTGATGTGATGACATTCAAAAGAAAATGTTCAAATCAAAACAAATTGACAGTCTCTGGCTCATGGCAAGGTTAAAAAAACTTGGGAGACTGTGCAAGCCATTTTCAGTCATTAGTAGAGCCGCAGACTGAAAATAGGCCAGGGAGCCTGCATATGTACACCGCCCTTTGAAATTTTTATTATTGTATTTCTATTTACAGTTTGTTTTTTTCCTTCCTCTCTTCTTTTCCTATTTATATATATTTACAAAGTTATTTTCAAATCTAGCAAAATTTCCTAAAATAAATAAGAATTCTCTTTCATACACCTATATCTTCTGTCTCTGTTTGATTTTTTGTGCTTACAACTAAAGGTTATTACAAAACAAAATTTTATCCAACATTTTAAATTTTAGTGCAAACTTTGTTCTTCTACATCAAAAGATCTCAAAAGAAACACTCGAGAACCTGAAAAAAGAATAGGAGAGATTATTTTATGGCAACTACATTGATTTCATCATTTTCGTCAAAACAATAGACAAATATTTGAAAAATAGGTTAGGGAGCGCATAATTGTATTTAAAATGGTATCAGTCTTTGGCTGAAATTGTAGTGTGAGTGACTGAAAGTAGTGTGAAAGTGACTGAAACTTGAATGAAAATAATAGTTTAGAACTCTAAGACACAGAAAATTTATTTATTTATTTTTTGCATAACATTAATTTGCACTTTATCATGTAGACAGTCAAGTAAATGAATAATCTATAAAACAATCTACTTTTATAAAA